TATCTCATTCCATTTTAAAATTGGCAAAAAATAATAATAAATTACATGCAATTCAATGTTTGATTTAGGTCCTATGAACAGAGGTTCTATCTTGGAAACTCAATATTGAGTAAAATTAACAATGTATTATCATTCTAATTTTTCGAATTGATTAATGAAATAAAATTTGACAGAGGTATAAGAAATAAAGGTATAATTTTTATTATAAATCTCATCATGGTCATCTCATTATTTCGTTTTATGCCCTGTTCAAGATTCATATGTATGAAAATTGTTTCACGAAAGGTGTTAATTTACTTTTTTGTAGTGTATTCTTTCCAATGAAAGCCTGTCAAATATTGACAAATCTTCAATATCTGAAAATTGTAGGCGATAGATATAAAAAATAAATAGAGATATACAAAATCGTTGTAAATTTTGCTAAAGTTTTCCTAATTTCAACACTAACATGTCTCCTATAATAAGCATGGTTCATGTTGGTATCTTGATATCAATACTAATCGTCGGAATTAGAATTCATGGTCTATTTATATTAATCTCTAAATCAGTTTGTAGGAATATTAAAATTATTTATGTCATAAGCAAAATATGATCATGTATATACAGGATAATTCAGAACTTATCCAAAACTAACATTTTGGATATACAGGAGACTCTTACAAATACAATTTTGTAAGGAAGAAATCAAAAGGGGCAGTTCGAAAATGATTTAAAAATATACTACTGCACGGCACTGGAAACTGGTCCACTGTAAAACCTGACCTTTGACCATGCGACCAGCTTGGCGGCATGATAAAAACGGACAAAAACTTGAAAGAATTTCGCAAAGAAAGGAATAAATAGAATTATATAGCATCTATTTTATATCAGCAAATTCAACTGTTTTTGCCGCTATTGTTATTATTAATTAATAAAATTAATTTGTGGTTTTAATTAATAAAATAATTTGACATAGGTACCTGATGTTACAACAACTGTTCAAAATTTTGTTCACCGACATGTAAACACATTTGTGTCCGACTTACTCAATTTCTACGAACCAACACAAATGTTTTCCTGCTTCACCATAACACAAATGTTTCACCATAATACAAAAGTTGTCTTGCTTCACCATAAATTAAAACGATATCCATCAACTCCGAGTTGTTTTACACACAAGCTATTTTTGACACTAACTACTAACAAACTATTGTAAACACTATCCCAACGACGATTGTAAAATCGGATATCAGTATTCGGAGTCGCTGAGGCCACCTGGCTCTCCACGCGTCTTGCGAATGACGCTACAGACTACAGTTGTCCCGCGATGTAATGCTTGAAAGTACTACAACTTCAATAATTTTTTTTCGGAAACTATAAGGATTTTACAAAAAATTTTCTTACGATATTGATTCCATTTCTCATGCCGTATCTATTCCCAAATTTTTTTGGATAAGTTGTGAATCACCCTGTATTTTCTGTTAATGGAATACATTAGAAGTATTCCTCATAAACAAACAGTGGAACAGTTTAAATTTACTGAAACACTAAAACTGAATGCATTAACTTCTGAGTAAGTATACTGTAGCAGAACCGTTTTTACAAATGTAAACGATATATGTACATATTAATTTTATAGAAAACATTAGTAACGTATGGTTTTGTCATGTAATTTTTTTCCATATTAATATTAAAAAGATCTATTAATTTTTTAATTTCAATTGAAATTTTAAAATGTAACGAGTCACTAGTATATTTCAATTTATTTTAATTTTTTTCCATATTAATATTAAAAAGATCTATTAATTTTTTAATTTCAATTGAAATTTTAAAATGTAACGAGTTACTAGTATATTTCAATTTATTTTAATTATTTTATTATTTAATTTTTCGTTTATTTAATTTTGTCTGATTTATTGTTAGAAAAAGATGAGTTTGAACTTTTATGCCAACAATTCACACCACTTTTTTGCCAATGAGTGCAGAATAACTTCCTGTTATTAGATTTCGGATAAAAATTACTCATAATAAATTTTCTTTAAATATTATTATATTATTTACGATATTTTAAGACATTTTTATGGCACTTAATTTATTGTAGCTCGCTCATATTTACATTTTTGAATAAGTTTCGAAATAAATGATTTTATTTAGGATCTTTTTAAAAATATACTTATATTCGAATCTCATTTGTTTTTTTTAACATCAAAAATGTTCAGGTGCTCCATTAGCAAAAAAATACAGTAAAGTAACTCCCTGAATAGATAAAGCATTCTATATAATTAAAAATTGTTTAAATATTTGCCGAAATGTACTTCATGCAATTTTTATTAGGGACATTTTTTCATCATATCATACATCTTAAGTGAGAACCGCTAAAATTGCTTTTAAATGCAGTTACTTACTAATAATTGTTTTTAACAATTATGTTTTATTCAGGAATGGTCAGATTTAAGAGAAACATACTTTTTTTAGGAATAAGTAGGTAGATATTTTGAAAAATCTAAAAAATCGTTTTTGTATTTTGCTTATGACGTGTGATATTCAATCATAGATATGGTTAAGACCGTCAATTCATGATAGTTCCGTGGATTTTTAAATAAAGGATAGTATGAATATAATAAGGTAATTTTTTTTACTTTAGGAAGAGCTAACTTTTATCTAGTAAGTAAATGATAATACTTCATTTGCTGCTTTAGGAAGACATTGTTCCATTTCATAATAAAAATAAGCATCTGCTTTTTACATGAATTTAAATGCTTCAACATTTTGTAAAAAGCTCTCGAGCAGACTCTAGTGTATATACAAATAATAAGATTTTTGCATTATTGGAAAAAAGTAAGATATAATAACGAAAGTCGACAAATATAGAACAAAACAAGAATATCTAAAAAGTTATATATTTTTCTGCTTATTATTTGGCATTTGGGATTTATCGCGGATCTTTCCTCACACACAGATAATATTTTGTTGGAGTATTTAGTGCACTGTTTCAATATTGAGAGAAGTACAAACACTTTTCGATTTGCGTATGCAGAAAATTTAAAGAAAAATCATTTTGCAGTTTCGTATTCTTAAGATTTATTAAACTAAATATATTTGTGTACCAACGTGTGATTATTCCTAAATAGGAAATGTTTGAGCGATTCCGGGAGTGGTTGTCATGTCGTCTGAATTTATTTTTTTCCACGTACCTACCGTTCTCTTCTTCATAAGAATTCGTATTTGCTATGTACACTGGTCTATGCTGTTGCGATTCATAGTTTAAGGTAATTTATCTATGACATACTTGTCCTTTTTTGGATTTCTACTACTCTTTGTAGAACCTTTGCCAACACCTCTCTCTCACTAGAATTCTGGTATTACTTAGGTCCATTAAGTGCTGCTGATTTATCTACGTTTAAAAGCCACTTGGACTAACAACATAGATAAATCAACAGTTGTTGAGCACAGTGTAGATATAATACATTAATAGATCTAAGTTACAAAAGATTTTGGAAAGGAATCATTCTTAACAATCAAGAATCGAAAGGTCACAGACCAGTAACACCGTGCCCCAGAACGTCATGGACCAATTGATATAGTAAATATAAAGGCAGAAGACGTAATCTCCAGTTTACTGAACTTCTTCATAAAGAAGAGAGCGATATACAGGGTGTATCTAAATAACATATGGGGATATCTGAAATCTTTGATCTACTCAAGGCCAGTTGAAGATATCAATGATTTGCGAAACCGCATTGTAGCAGGGTGTGAAACGATAAAAAATTCACCAGGAATATTTGAACGCATACGCAATTCTATGAGAACAAGAGTAGATGCTTGTATTGAAGCTGAAGGCAATCATTTTCAACATTTTTTGTAGATTGTATTGTCAATATCCGACAGATTTTTATTTTTTGTTACTGTTATAACATTATTCATCATTTGTTCACTTTTAGTCTAAGTTCCAAACTTCTTAGCCTAGTAGAATCATAGGTCAACTATTTGGTTGAGTGTTTTTTAATAAAATGTTATTTAATATGACAATAAATGACATTGACATTTGTTTCTACGGATTCCATTGTAAAGAACAGGCCACTAGATCTTTCGGCAAAATACACTCGCGTTAAACAGCTCATCTTTTTAAAAATACATTACAATACATTTATTTTTTTTTGTCATAAATCCTTAACTTTTCGAAGAAACTTGAAGAGATCAAAAAGTTAGTAAATGAATGGGGTTTTTTAGACATATTTTTTAAAAGGAAAAAATTTTATCGAAAAAAAAATTATAAGAAAAAATGTCATAGGGGTTGATTATTTCAACCCCTTACAAAAATAGTTCAGGGTTGAAAAAAATTCAAAAAGTGTAGTTTTATTGACAGATAATGTTCACCAAGTTTGGTTTCTTTAGCTTGATGTACGTGGAAGATAAAAAAGAAAAACAATTTTTTTTTGTAATTTTAGGAGGGGCGTAACTTTTCAGGGGAGGGTTTTTTCAAAAAATTTTATACCAAAGACCCCTATTAATTTTCATCGGAGAATCGCCCCTTGAATTTTTTCGGTGTTATTTAGATACACCCTGTATATCTCGAAAGATCAAGAAGTCTAAATCGTCGATGTGGCAACCAGCCTTAAATTGTTCGACTGTTGACAACTGTAATAGAAGCTTGCAATCCAATCTAAATGGAAAGCTTTATTATCGTTTGACGTATAGCAAGACTACCTCATATGTGTCATAAGCTAACTGATATTTGATAAGTGGAGCATTTACTTCCCGGAAATTAAGAAGATGCTCCGAACTAAAAGATTTCATTATTCCTACGAATTGAAATATTTGTTTTTGCTCCTCCCGAGATGCTTCTACTATCTACCATCCACTTTGGTCTAGTGCTCCAGTTTTATTCATTCAAGTCAACTAAATTAACGCATTTAGAGAACAATTCCTGACATTCCTGACCAAGTTTTCGTAAACATATTTTTCTGCATGACAATTAACTCATTTTTTTTGTCTTTTCTATCATGATCTTTTTTTTGCAGCTTTGAAGTTCCTGAAAACTCACCGAGGCATCGGCACCACGAGGAGGAACGCCTCCTCCAATACGGGTCTTTGGCCGTCGGTCTTCAACCTGGCCGCTAAGGCCGATATATTTGCGAATGCAACGTGCGGACAACGAGGCCGGGAAGAATTCTGTCGCATGACGGACAACGGAAAAGGCCGGTGCGGCATCTGCGACAATGCCAGCTCAGACCCCGGCAAGCGCCACTCCATCAACTTCGCCATCGACGGCACGAATAAGTGGTGGCAAAGCCCTGCGTTGTACTACGGCCCGCAGTACGAATTTGTCACCGTTACGATCGATCTCAAACAGGTTGGTTACACCCTATACTTTTTAGTATATCCTACAGGAATTCAGATTAAAGAAAGTAGAGGGGTGGGAAGCATTCAACGCTTTTATTTTCAGTTAACTGTAATCATAAATTTTTTACTACCCTTTCAGATATTAATATAAAATGAATTAATTCGACACACAACACTTGATTTATATTTTTTTTAATTTTTGTATACAATTTTTATGTAACTGGCAATTGGAGGGTCCATTAAGTGCTGCTGATTTATCTACGTTTAAAAGCCACTTAGAATAACAACGTAGATAAATCAAGAGTTGTTGAGCACAGTGTAGATACAATACAATAATAGATCTAAGTTATAAAAGATTTTGGAAACGAATCATATCAAGAATCGAAAGTTCATAGACCAGTAACACCGTGCCCCAGAACGTCATGGACCAATTCATATAGTAAATATAAAGGCAGAAGACGTAATCTCCTACAGAACTTCTTCATAAAGAAGACAGCCATATACAGGGTGTATCTAAATAACACCGAAAAAATTCAAGGGGCGATTCTCCGATGAAAATTAATAGGGGTCTTTGGTATAAAATTTTTTGAAAAAACCCTTCCCTGAAAAGTTACGCCCCTCCTAAAATTACAAAAAAAATTGTTTTTCTTTTTTATCTTCCACGTACATCAAGCTAAAGAAACCAAACTTGGTGAACATTATCTGTCAATAAAACTACACTTTTTGAATTTTTTTCAACCCTGAACTATTTTTGTAAGGGGTTGAAATAATCAACCCCTATGACATTTTTTCTTATAATTTTTTTTTCGATAAAATTTTTTCATTTTAAAAAATATGTCTAAAAAACCCCATTCATTTACTAACTTTTTGATCTCTTCAAGTTTCTTCGAAAAGTTAAGGATTTATGA